TCTCAGCTCCTTCAGTTTACCAATTCTACAGGAGATGAAGGGAAGCTCCTTATTCTTGAGAGGCAGCGAGACTTGATTAGAAACCTTCCAAGTCCCAGATCTGAAGACCCCAACGCCTCAGACTTCTTCTCAGCAAGAATCTCCTATGTTCTCTGAAACAATTCTAGCAGGAATCCTAGCCAATCAGACCACCAAGGCTGCAGGGACACCACTGCACCTCCTACAGCGCCCAACTGTAGGACAAAGGGCTGACTCTCAGAGAGGGTGGCGGGCGGCTCCACTGGGTTGGTCCTGCTTTGCCCTAGTCAGGGAAGGCTCAACATTGAGCTCCCAACACCCAGAACTGGCATTTCTTAATAAGTGAAGACTGAAAATCATTTTTTTCTAGGTTAATTTAGTCCCTCCCACTGCAGGACTTCTAAGATTTGGAGATACAAGACATGAAACCAATCATTTCACCCACTTTCCGATCTTCAGTGTTCTTTCCAACTTTACTCCGTTGCTTATGACTCCTCACATCTACACTTTTATTTTCTGAAGTTTTAATTGAAGCATAGCAAATATACAGAAGAGTGCACAAATTGTTAAGTGAATTTTCACAAAGTGAATAACCATCACCCAAATTAAGAAATAGAAAATTTTCAGCATCCCCGAAGCCCTCCTCTTGCTCCTTCCAGCCTACACTCCTAGAGGCTAATCAATATCCTGACTTATAGCACCATAGATTTATTCTGCCTGGTTTTGAGCTTTGTAGTTCATTTATTTTCATTGTTGTATAGTCTTTCATTGAGAGAATATTACTGTGAGTTTTCTAAGGTTAAAGGCGATTTGGGTAGTTTCCAGTTTGAAACTCTTACAAATGGAGCTGCTAAGGACATTCCTGTACATGTTTTATGGTGTGTATATGTGTGGATGTCTGGGATCCTAGGGTATGCATATATTCAGCTTTAGTAGATACTGCCAATGAGTTTTCTGCAGTGGTTGCTTAGATTTACATTATGAGAGTTCCAATTGCTCCACATCATTGTCAGTACTTGAAGTTGTCTTTTTTTTTCATTTTAGTCATTCTGGTGGTGTGTGATGGTACCACATTGTATTCTAATTTACATTTATCTAATGACTAATGAAGCTGTTGATGACCACACTTTTTGACTGGTCTAGGCTTTTCATCTCCATTTCTCCCCCTTCCAGTTGCCCTTCAATTCACTCCAATTTATGCTCAACCCAAACTTCTCCACTAATATTGCTCTCTCTAAAGTCCTTACTAGCCCATTCAGCTGTAACACCATACTTGTCCTCTTCCAGTTTTCCCTAGCATCACTAATGTATCAGTTTGGGCTCCTTCAGATGTAAGTGTCCATCAACCCAAATCAAAGTGGCTTATATGAAAGAAAAAAAAATAAAATCCGTTAGTTCACATAACTGACAGGTGTCGTGGTATATCTCAGGTATAGCCTGATTCAATGCTCAAATAATGTCATCGCTGGCTCTGCCATTCACTGTGTTGATTCTATGTTCAGATGTTAAGATGGTTGCAATAATTCCAATTCCACATAGTTACAGGTTCAAGTTCCAAAGTAAAGAGAGAGACTCCTTCTTCAAAGTCAAACAAACAAAAAGCCCTAAAATTGAGTCTTGTTGGCTCTGATGGCCTGTTTGGGTCATATGCCAATCCTGGAACCATTCACCTGGGAGATCAGTTTAGGCCGGGTAATACGTCTAACCTGGAGGAGGAGGTGGAGTGGATCAGCCCTGCTCAAACTGAATGGGTTAAGAGTGGAGAAATTCCTCAGAGGGAAATTGGGGTAAAATCACCTGAACAGTGAAAAGGTGCTGGAAAGCAAATTCAGCAGTTGTCTACTACACTTGTTGAACCAGTTCTAAGGCCAGAAACCTCGGAATTATTCTTGAGTTTTCCTTCTTGCTCACCATCCACATCCATCAGTCTTGACTGCGCACTAATTCTACATCCTGAATAGCTTCCTAATCTATCCACTTTATTACTATTGTCACCATTCTAGTCCAAGGGAACATTAATTCATCCTTTGACTCCTGAAATAGTTTTCTTACATCCTCTTCCTTTTCTCTAAATTCTAAAAACAACAACAATAATGACTAACACTTGTTGAGGGCTTATTAAACACACTGTGCAAAGCATTTCACTTTCACTATCTCATTCAGTTCTCAGAGTAACTCTATGAAGAAAATAACTGTGATATCTCCCGTTGTATAGAAAAGCAAACTTTAATTAGAAGCAAACTTCTTAACACTCAACGTTCTTCAATGGCTTCCCATTTCCCTGCATTCTTGATATCTATTATTAGGTAATGAAGTACTCTCAACTTTACTGTCTTGAAAACAATAGCAATCATTTATTTACATTAAGAATCTACAATTTGGGGAGGGCTCATCAGGGAAGGCGCATCTGCCCCTTGCAGCATCAGCTGAAGTGGCTTGACTAGGGGAGGGAGAATCTGCTTCCAAGATGGCTCACTCTTGTGGTTGGCAAGTTAGTGCTGGCTGTTGTCTACAAGTTCAGCTGGAGCTAACGTTGAGGAATCTCAGTTCCTGTCCATGTGGTCTCTCCACGTGGGCTTCTCCACAGTCTGCTTCAGCTTCCTCACAACATGGTGGCTGGGTTCCAAAAGTGTCCCCCAAAACAGGAAGTAGAAGCCGCCATTTCTTAAGACCTGAGCCCAGAGTTTGGCACAGCCTCACAGAGATCAGATTCTAGGTGAATAACCTAGAGCTCTTCTCAGTGGGAGGAGTATCAAAGAATCTTTAAGTCAAGTTTTAAAGCTGCCGCATCCTAGCTATAAAGTCCATAAAACAAACTAAAGGGCTTTTCATGAGTCGGTACCTGTTAACCAATCCCATATCCCGTTTCGTGATAACTCTCCCTATGCACAATGGCCTTCTTTCAGTTCTTCCAATGTTCTCTTTCACCTCACGGCTATTGCCCCTGCAATTTGTGCCCCCTTGGCATGCTTTCCCTGTCTTTACAATCTCCTAGCTTCAGATGTCACCAGAAAAGTCCCCTCCCAATACTAGTCTAGGCTAAGCTTTTCTGTTTTAAGCTGTCATACAATTCCTGTCTCACAGTAGGTACACCATATGTATGTTTTGAAAAAATAAATGATTGAACAAATGAGAAAATTCACTGCCCCTTCAGTTTGAAGTGCCTTTCCCATCTTCATGTCTTCTCATGTTGCACCCTGGCCCTGTCCGACTTACAGTCTCTGGGTGGATGCTCCATCTCTTACAGCATTTCAACTCTTCTAGAAATTCCATCTCCTCCAGGAAGGTGATAATTCTCCCTAGAACCTGGGATAAACACACAGCTTTCAGGACTCACTGCCTCCATTGCTTGTATGAGTAGACTGTCCTGGGTGCTTGTTTTCACGGAGACTTTGTTTAATGGTTGCAGTGTTCCTATCAGTATTGTCACTATTTATTTGGAAGCTCCTGGAAGGCAGGTATGAGATCTCTCCAATTCATTCTTCTCTCTATTCTTAGAAAACAGGAACCGGATGGCCTGAGGACCAGCAGAGTAAAGTTGAATTTTAATAGGCAGAGGGTACAGAATGAGCAAAGACTGAGTGGGCTGGGTGTGCTCCCTGCTGTCCATTGGGGAGGACTTGGTTCTCATCATGTCACGGCCTAGGATCAGATTCTGGTCAGGGAAGGAGATAAACCTTATAACGGAAAACACACTGGAGAGAGCAAGCCAGAGTCCTGGTTTACCGTCATTAAGGGCTGTCGTTTAGCCTCCCTGAGAATTGTCTCCTTACTTGTAAAGCAAGGACACTAAGATAAGACGGTAACTAGGGGCTGCTCCAGCTCCAGCAGTGGTGTTTCTGACAGTGGTTAGTTGCTCCAGCTCTGGAGGCAGACAGACCAGGGTCCAAGTCCAGTTTTGCCCCTTTTGATCTGAGTGTCTTAGGGTAAATTACTTCACCTCTTGGAGTCTCACTTTTGTCATCTATAATCTGGGCATAATTATTCTTCCATCATAAAGCTGTTTTGAGAATTCAAATAAGAATAGCTATACAGAGTGTTTAGGTTATGGTTGGCACCTAATTAATTAATTAAACAAGCAGTTATTAAGAACCAGGAGGATGTGGTACAGTGGATTAGATATAATCTTGACTTTGCAGTCAGGTAATACATGAGTTTAAATACTGTTTTCACCATTTACTAGCTGTGTGACCTTAGGCAAGTGACTTATCATTTCTAAACTTCAGTATTCTCATCTCTAGAATGAGGGTAAGAGATGAGAACCTCATCTCTTATTGTGATTATTATTGTAACGTGATTATCATGATTATTATTGTAATGATTCAGTAAAATATAGTATATAAAATGTTTATCACAGTGCCTAGTATATAATATATGCTCAATAAATAAAAGCTACTTTTTAAAAATTATTATTATGAATAATTACTCTTCTTCAGGGAATAATCTGTAGATCAGTTTGGTTGGTATGCAGGGGAAACATGCAGAGGAATCCTGGGAGATGTTTAGAAAAGATAGGCTGGAATCATATGTGGTGGTTCTTGAATGCCAGATGAGGATTTTGGATTTTATTCCACTGGCAATGAAAAGCCACTGAAGAAGTTCAAGCTTTCAAAAAGATAATTTCAATGTAGAATATAGAAAATATTGAAGAGAAGACACACTGGAAATGGAGAGACTTAATTACTCTTTTACTCACTCATTCAATCAATCATTCATTCTATCAATCATCTAACAATTATTGAGCCCTTATATGCCAGGCACTAGTTTGTGAGGATGCAGAGAAAGACGGATAATTAAATAATACTCAAAGTGTAATAAGTGATAGAATAGAGAAGCACCTAACTCAAAAATTCTTCCAGAGGGAAGTGGCATTTAAATGGAGACCTGAAGCATAAAAGGAGGGAAAGACATTCTAGGCAGAAGAGTTATCAAGTGCAAAGGGTGCATAGGTCAGAGGGAGCAGGGTGAGTGCAGGACTTGAAAGATGCTCAATCTTTAAGACAAAAGGTAAGGACCATCTGAACTAGGGTGATGACCATGGTGATAGAGAAGAGGGGACAAATGAGTGTGTCATTGTGGAGACAAAAGCTGTGCAATTTAATGACAAACTGGGTGTGTGGGAGATGTAAGAGGAGTCAAGGGTGACTCTAAGATGACATCTCTTCTTACATTAGTCAACCTTCACTTTAGTTTGTCTTTTACTTCTGGAGGGTGTGTGTTAGATTTTGCTGTGTCAGCTTGGTTTAGTTGGGAACTACATATGGTTCCCTTTATGGTCCCAGGCCAGAGTTGTGCAAAAGGGGAACTTGTACAAGATTTGGAAGGCAAAAGTGAAGCAGCAGCCATTACTACTCCCTGAAGGTCATTGTGGTCAGATGTGGTGACAGGCACAGAGGTACATGCTAGGTTTCAGCTCATCCAGCTCTTCCTCTTGACAACCAGCAGCTCCAGGTCCACCACCTTGTCTTTGGACCCCTGGAGTGAGTAGCCTCTGAAAGGTAATGGCTTCCCACAGACCTCTTCATGCACTACCCCTTTGTGAGCCCACTTAGGTGGTTGGACATTCTTGCCTTTTCAGATTTACTATAACTCCTTTCCTGATGCTTCAAATATGCCTTCCAGACTTTCGCTTCCCCAGCATCTCTCATGCTTGTGTAATGTCTAATTTTTATAATAGCTCTCTTATTCCATAACACTCATAGTGAATCTATCCCTAACTGAACTCTGACTGACACAAGGCTTATAAACTTCTAAGAAGATTAGATTTCACTTATCCTTGAATATTTCTGGTATACCCAGGCAGCCAAGGATGGACTGATATTGGCATTTCTTCCACTTAAGGAGTGACATAGATCATAATCTCATTTAGTCCAGAACCAAATAATGATATTTATTTGAAACTCTGACTATTCTCCTCTCCTTTAACTCAGTAGATCAAAACACAGGAAATGATATGCCAGATGACTAAGCAATAACAGAAGAAAAGGGGAGAGGAGGAAGAATGTTCCAAGAAGAGGGACCAGGATGTGCAAAGATCCAGAGGTCACAGCTCCTTCTTGTTTACCTTAGGCTTGTTGTGGCAATTAAATGAGATAATCAGTATGAAGGCACTCAGTAAATGGTATAAATGTGTGCAGATATGGAATCAAATTGGGATGACATTTTATAAGAAAGACTTTCTGCTTTCTGTTCTTCAGTAGTCTTTGGGATCTTCAGTTCATCTCTGTGCTCCAGCCATCAGACAACTAGCATTTCAAAGAACATAATTATGTGGTTGGTACCAGCAGGGCCTAGAGCATTTGGCTCAGGGAAAACCATTGTCTACTCTTGAGCACTAGGAAAAGGTAACCAAGAGTACCTCAAAACCAGTTTGTTCTCTTTTCATGCCAGGACTTTTCTGGAATGAAATTATCTTGACAACCTCAGAATTACTTTACTTTTCCTGCATTCAACCCTTTCAATTTATCTTTCCTCCTCTGTCCTTGGGACAAATCAAGGAGAAACACCCCTAAAGAATCTTGACTCCAACACTTACTTGCCATGTGAATGTGGACAAGTTACTTCGACTCTGCATCTCAGTTTCTGCATCTGCAAAATGGGAATAATAACTGATCTCATGGGGTTGTTGTGAAGATTAGTTATATGTGTCAAATCTTCAAAACAATGCACAGCACATGAGTGATCAGTAAATGTAAGGTGATATTATTATAATAAAAAATAATAACTTTTATTATTACTATTGAATCAAAAGGTCAATTGTAACCTCCTTGGTGTTCAAATCAAATGTTGTGCTGTCCTTCACAATCCTTATTTCTGGCATTTTCTTCTTAGAGAAATCAGGTGACAGAAGATTGGTGGTTCCTGGTTAGTAGTAATATCACTTATCAATTCTAGTGCATGTGAGGAGAAATTGGTCCAGTTCGTCTATTTAAATCATCATAACTATGAGGTGGGAAGGAACCAGTATTCAGCCTGGGTTCTCCACCAGCTACTACTCCACCTTTCTCCTTGTCTTTAGAGCCACGTAACAAGTCTCCACGTGCTATCTCCACTTCTTCCTCTCCTACTCACCGGCGGATCAGCTACCCTACAGTCTGGCTTCTGCTCCCACCTTGCAACTGAAGGCTGCCTTCCCAAAGGCGACTGACAAATTCCATGTTTCTAAATCCAGTTAACATTTCTTTGTCTGAGGACCATTCTACCTTCTGGAATCATTCTCTCTGCAGGCTTCCAGGACACTACATTTTTCCTCTGTAGGCATTTTCCTTACTACCTTTCTGGCTGCTGCACATTCCCCAGTCTGTTTTATTTTTTTCAGTCTTTTTCTTTGGTCCAATGTTTACATGTTGGTGTTCTTCAGGTTCTATCCTAGGCCTTCTTGTCTTCTGGCTACACACCTCTCCCAAGGGAATCCCATTCATTCCCAAGGCTCAGTCATCGCATAGGTAGACCTCTGACTCAGCCCCTTCTCCTGAGCTTCAGACACGACCTTCTCGCTGGGCATTGACACCTCAATGTCACAAAAGTGCTTCAAACCCAGCTTTTCCTAAAGTGAACTCATTATCTCCTTCCACAAAAAGACATCCCCCTTCCCATGTTCCCTCTCTCAAGGACTGGCACCTCAGTTGGCACAATGCTTGAGAATTACCCTAACGTACTATTTCTGCCTCTTTCTCACCTCTTCATACTCAATTAATCTCTACATCTGTTAACTTTACTTCTAAAATACCTCTGGGACCAGACATCTTTTCTGTCTCTTTTGTTTCTTCTAGTCTGGTTCTTGCCACCATCATCTTTCTACTGATTGGCCACTGTAGCCTCCTAATTGGCCTCCCCACCTTCCTTTTTTTTCATCTTCTATGTGCAAGTTTGTACCCTTTGGCCAACATCTACCCAACTCCCCCACTCCCCAGATCCTGGTAACCACATTCTATTCTCTGTTTCTATGAGGTTGGCTTTTTAAGATCCTTTCAACCATATATCAAGCACTGACTCATGCACTTAGAATCTCTCAGTGGAAACAAAAAACCTGGGTAACATCCATCTTCTAACGTGCCATCTAATAGATGTTAGCTCAGAGCCGGTCTTCCTCAGCAAAAAGAGGAGAATTAGCATGGATGTTAGCTCAGGGCTGATCTTCCTCACAAAAAAAAAAACCAAACAAAAATTAGTTTAATGTCCGATCTAATGTGACATATATTCTAGTGGGGAGTGGTGGGAATTATTCTGTAAATTCTCTGTTACTTCCATTTGAAAATAATTCAACATTATAGTTTTTGGTTGTCAATGCTGATGAAACTAGCTGTAGTTCACTCATTCTTATTGTTCTATTTTATACTATTGTATTAATAATCCATAATTTACTTGTCTATTCTATTATTAGTGGATGCTTGTAAAGTTTTCTGACAACATTATAAACAATGCTGTGAAAACTTTCTCGTACAAAAAGAGGTGCTCTTTCTTGGCCATAGGGTAAGCACGTCTTTAAGATTACTAGCTGTGTGAGATAAGGTTAATTTATAGGCGGACTGGGAATATTCTATCCTTACCTCTGAGTTGCCTCGATGTCCATCCTTGACTCCAGGCAAGGATAAGTGCAGAATAAGGATCTTTGATGAACTGATTAAAGTCCAAACTCCCCTGAGGACCCCAAGGTTCAGTTTGTTTATTGATGGTTTTCGTCTGGCCTTCATTCTTGACTCATCCAAATTATTCTCCACCGAGTTGATAGAATTATATTTTGTAAATGGAAAACTGGCCCTGATGCTTTCCTGCTTAAAACTGTTCTGTGATTTCCAACAGTTTTTTTTTTTTTTTGTGAGGAAGACTGGCTCTGAGCTAACATCTATTGCCAATCCTCCTCCTTTTTTTCCCCCAAAGCCCCAGTAGATAGTTGTATGTCATAGCTGCACATCCTTCTAGTTGCTGTATGTGGGACGCGGCCTCAGCATGGCCAGAGAGGTGGTGCGTCCGTGCACTCCCGGGATCCGAACCTGTGAACCCCAGGCCACCACAGCACAGCGCGCGCACTTAACCGCTAGCGCCACCAGGCTGGCCCCCCCAGGTGCTTGTCTGGAAGCCACTTCTCAGATAACTACAGCTCATTCTTTAGGTCTCAGGTAGAGGCTGCTGCTTCCAGAAAGTTTTCCCTTATACTCGGGCCTGGGCTAGGTCCTCTCTCTGGTGGAGCCTTGGGTGCCTCCTCTCGTAGCTCTGTCCCATTCCTTGTGATTTATTGACAGCTTGGGCTTTGGAGTCAGGCGCCACTGGTGTCTGAACTCCACCTCTGCCACCTACTAGCTGCTATTTAACTGCAGTGAGCCTCAGTTTCCTTATGTTTAGTATGGGTCTAATAACAGAATCTATTTTACTGATTTGCATGTTTCTTTATTGAAATAGGGATTAAATGGCATGTAATTAATTATTTGCATAATTAATTGTTAAAAATCTATATTTCTTCTTTGAATTTAAGCTGTTTAAAGGCAGGGATGATGTCCACCACTGAATGCCCAGTATCTGTTATAGTGCATGTAGCAGCTCAATAAAAAGACATTGAATAAATTACTAAATATGATTCAGTATTTTGATTATTTAAAAAATTTTTTAACATTGTCTTGTATTTTCCATTCCATTAAGTATTTCTGTATTAATTGTTTTTCATTGGTTGCTTTATAGTCTATTCCATAAATGTCCCAGAAATGATTTAACTATTCATTTATTGTTGAACATTTAGGGTATTTCAATTCTTCATTATTTTAAATAATATTGTGACAAAAATTCCTGTGCATAATTTTATGTCTATATCTTAGATTATTTCCTTAAGGTCCTTTTCTAGAAGAGGTATCTTCTTGTTACAAGTCTTCTTCTGAAAATTTTCCAGAACTCTCTATTTATTTCCTTTGTATTGCCTACAAAACATTCACACTTACTGTTTTGTGACTTTTTCTTTCTCTCTGATGACATTGGGATAAATAATACCCAAAGCCCAGGACT